TGATGACGATGATGCTAGTAGCGATGCTGGCGACGATGCTGACAGCGACGACGGGGCAGCCAGCGACGGCGCCGATGCCGATTTCGCCGACGACGATGACGGCGTCTTCGCGTCGGTGATGAAGGTTTTGCAAAAAAAAAAAAAAAAAAAAAAATGCGCGCGCGGCAGACGCGAGAGAGTGGCCCGCATGGTATTATTTGACACGGATCGTGCCACCCCAGCACGCGCGCAAGGGCGTTCGAACGATTTCGACATGCGCGCGCGAAGCCAGTTTGGTAGCACGTTGTGCACATGTTGAAAACACATGGTTCTCTTAAGAAGTCACCAGAGGGCGCGCGCACGCTTTTTTTTGTTTTGAAAATCCGTGTTGCGAAACTTCGTGGTGTTGTGTGCTTTTTGGACACTCGATTTTGAAACCCCTCCGACACATAAGGTTTCTGCAGGATTTCGGCATGCGCGTGCGACGACGCGCGCGCGTGCATCTCGTTTCACTTTGTGCAGAGGATTCTCGCGACGGCACGACGCGCGCAAGGGCGTTCGAACGATGTCGACATGCGCGCGCGCGAAACCCGTTTGGTAGCACTTTCTGAAATATTGAAAAACCGATGTTTTTCTTAAGAATTCGCAAGAGCGCGCGCGCATGGGTATCTAGAATATCAGCGTTGCGAAACCTTGTATTCTATATTGTTGGGACACTCGATTTTGAAATCCCCCCGAAACCAAAGGTTTTTGAAGGATTCTGGCATGCGCGCGAGACGACGCGCGCGCGCACTTCGTCAATTTTTGTTGCAAGGGAGTCTTGAAATCTTATGATTTGTGATGAACGAGTGCGCGCGCATAATATGTTCGGCAGAAGGCGGCGGGGAGGGGGGTACCGGTATGGCTGGGATAATGCGAACTCGAAGCTTGAATGGAAGACGCGGCAGAACCATACGCAAATTGCAATACGACAAAGTGAAGAGTTAACCCCGGGGTGGAAGGTGGTAGAACCTATCTTCTTTCAAGAAAAGAGAACTCATCTGCCGAACTTGAAGTTGTCAACTCCACTGCTCGCGCAGTCACCCCACCCACCCTCCCGCAATTTGGCTTGCAAAACCCATGCGGGAGCGATTGCGATGAGTGCTGGGCGTTGGCTGGTGCATCTCTGCGGCCGCGCTAGCCCGCGCATGCTCGCGCGCGCAGCGGCCAGCTAGTTTGGCGCGACCGACGCGAACGCGGTGGCGCTGACCGCTCGGCACATCCCAGCGGACACTTCAGTGCGAGTCGGCGACTTTGGCGGGCGCGGTATCATGGCAACGTCGACAACGGTAGACACGACGATGATAGTAGCGATCTTGGCGACGATGCTGACAGCGACGACAAGGCAGCAAGTGACGGCGCCGATGCTGACCACGCCGGCGACGATGACGGCGTCTTCGCGTCGGTGATGAAGGTTTTGCAAGAAATTCGAAATGCGCGCGCGGCAGACGCGCGAGAGTGGCTCGCATGGTATTATTTCACACGGATCGTGCCACCCCAGCACGCGCGCAATGGCGTTCGAACGATTTGGACATGCGCGCGCCAAGCCCGTTCGGTAGCATTTTATGTAAGTGTTCAAAAACTTGCAAGAGCGCGCGCGCACGTTTTTTTTTTGAAAATCCGTGTTGCGAAACGATGTGTGTGTTTTAGAATTTTTGTTGGACACTCGATTTTGAGATCCTTCCGGAACCTAAGGTTGTTGTAGGGTTCCAGCATGCGTGCGCGACGAAGCGCGCGAGTGCACTTCGTTTCATTTTGTGCAAAGGATTTGCGCGACGGAACGCGCGCCAGGGTGTTCGAACGATTTCTATTTGCGCGCGCGAAGCCCGTTTGGTAGTATGTTCCGAAAATGTTGAAGAAATTGCGGTTTCGCAGGAGCGCGCGCGCACATGTTTTTCATATGTTGCGAAACCCTGTGTTTATATATATATATATATATATATATATATGGACACTCGATTTCGAAATCCTTCCGAGAATCGAAGATTGTTGAAGGATTTCGGCATGCGCGCGCGACGACGCGCGCGCGCGCACTTCGTCATCTGTTTTGCAACGGATGTTTGGACATGTTTGACTGTTGATAAAGAGTGCGCGCGCATTGTGTTTTTTGCAAAGGATGGCGGGGGGGGGCGATACCGGCTTTGCTGGGATAGTACGAATTCACTGGCAGGATGGACATTGGGTCAGAATCATATGTGTTTTGCATCGGTTCCCAGTGAGTCTTCAAGTCAGGGGGGGGGAATTTATTTTTCTTCAAAAAGTCCAGAGAATCTAGGCGGCGACGGGGCGGCGACGAGGCGGCGACGAGGCGGCGACGGGAATCGACGGCGGCAACACAGCCACCAGACCGGCAGACAGGCCCAGACGACGGGCGGCGACGAGGCGGCGACGGCGGCAACACAGCCGCCAGACCGGCAGACAGGCCCAGACGACGGGCGGCGACGAGGCGGCGACGGGGCAGCGAAAGCGGCAACATAGCCGCCAGATTTACAGACAGGCCCAGCTCATTAAAGGAGACGTAAGAACCCTTAAGCACAATCACTGCCTTGGGATAAACATGTGGTGTGCCATATATGTTTGAAGAGATCGTTCTTGAAATGCTTCGAAATCCAAAGATACTAGAGCGATGTCGAGACGCGCGCGTGGCGGCGCGCGCGTGTGGCCCGCATGGTAGTATTTGACACGGATTCGAGCATTGGGCACATGCTGGATCAACGCGGATGCACCGCATGGTGAGACTGGGCGAGGTTGTTACAGCCACATGGTATCCTCATGATTTCAGCGAGTGCGCGTTGCAATGTTTGTGATGGAAAACCCCAGGATTGTTGTTATGTTTGGATGTTGGAATGTTTGCAAAAGTGTTGCGTTTCGCATTATTTCGACACGTGCGCGCGCATCTGCACCGTTTGCAATTTGTTGCAAAGGACCATTGAACAATAGATTAAGCGATACACGGGTGTGCGCACATTGTATTGTTTGATAGGAATGAGGGGGATAACCCCGGGGTGGTAGAGTTGATTTATTAATTTTTTGAAAACTGAATCCACGCGTGCATTAACGAATGGTCATAAATTGGTTGTCAACCCCACTGCTCTCGCAACCATCCCACCCTCCCACCCGCAATTTGTTTTGCACAACCCATGCGGCCGCGATTGCGGTGACTCCTTGGCATTGGATGGGGCACCCCTGCTGCTGCGCTGCCGCGCGCAAGCTCACGCGCAGAGCAGCCAGCTGGTTCAGCACAACCGATGTGGCCGCAATGGCACTCACCGGCTACGGCTCCTCAGCGCATCTCAAAGGCCGCGTTGGCGCGCTTGCACCAAAATCTGTGTCGGTGATTCGGGCGGGCGCGGTATCATGATGACGTCGGCAAGGACTGCAACGATAACGGTAGTAGCGACGGTGGTGGCGATGGTGACGATGGCGATGACAAGGCCATTCACGGCGCCGATGCTGGTGACGACGATGGCGATGATGGTGTTCATGTGTCGGTGATGAAGGTGCTTGATTGATGATGGTGGCGATTGTCGATGACGATCACTGCAGTGATGCGGCGGCGTCGATGAGGGTGATGGTGAGGAACTCGCGCACGCGGATATGCAAGAAACCTAGCGAACTATTCGTTGGAAATCATAATGTTGCTAGATATGGCTTGATGAATCCCACGCATTGCTATAAGAGCCGGATGGTATGTTTTATGTATATATACACACATATTAATACGTGTATAGAGAGTTCTAGCCTAAAGCTTTTCGCACGCCAACGGTTTGGGAAGGATTCCGACACGCGCCGCGACTCGCATGCTCTTGTTGATACGGGTACGTGTTTCGGGCGGAGGCTGGATCAATGCGGATGCACCGCATGGTGAGATCATGATGCGGGTTCTGGACGAAATCGTTAAAATAGCACGGTTCTCCCATGAGTTCATCGATTGGGCGCGGGCAGAAAATTTGCAAAATGCTGCATTTAACAAGCGAAGGGTGCTTAATGCTTTTATGTTGGCCCGCTTGCAAAACAATTGCGTTTGATATGATTTTGACTGTTGCGCGCGCGCGTGTGGACTTTGTGAGATTTCTGCTGCCAGGGAGTATCGGGCATGGTTTTTTGAGATGGACGAAAGTGCGCGCACAGTATTGTTTGACTGGGATGAGGCGGGGCGATACCTGGCCTGCCTGGGACGGTATGAGTTCATATGGAACACGAATGTTGCGGCAGAACTAATTTGAAGGGGCCCCAGGACACACAAATAAATACACACAAATAAAAAGATTCCCCATATTTTCCCATATTTTCTGGGTTTTTGTCTTCCCCCCCATTTCCCATATTTTCCAATAGTTTCTAGGAAATCGACGATTAATTGTGTCTGTGTGTTTTTTCCCCTCCTGATAGTTGTAGTTTGAACAATGCTTGGGGGTACCGATGCCCCAGGGGGAGGGAGGATGGTAGATGATATTGTTCTTTTGGAAGGCGAATCAAGGCCAGCCAGGGCATGAGGCGCCCACGGGGGGGGGCACCGAACGAAAACCCAGGGAACCCAACCGCCACACATGACGCCCACGAGGCGCCCACGGGTGGACAGCGGGCGAAAGCCCGGGGAACCCAGCCAGCGCACGAGGCGCCCACGGGCTGACACCGGGCAGACACCCAGCGAGCCCACCCAGCGACCCAGCGACGCGAGCAAGGACCCTCCTGTGCAAGCAGGCACTGCGTGGAGAAACGGCTGCGCCAAGGCCCTCCCGCTTCCATTTTAGCTCCAGGCCTCGCGTGCGGAGCACAGCGTTCGCTTTTGATGGGCCTGTTTTCCACCACCACCACCATAGGTTGGAGGGGGAGGGCGTCCTCCTCCCCCTCCTCCTCCTCCTCGTCCTCCTCCTTCTCCTCCTCCTCCTCCTCCTTTTCGTCCTCCTCCTCGTTCTACCTCCTTCCTCCCTCCAACTTATGGTGGTGGTGGTGGAAAACAGGCCGATCAGCTTTCTTTCCCCCCCGGCGGTGCGAGAGAGACCCCCTTCCTCCGCCATGGGGCGCTGGCTGCGGGCGGGCGGCGCCGCGGCGCTGCTGAGCGGGGCGGGCGCGCAGCTCCCGGGCAGCGTGTCGCAGGAGAACCATCCCCCCCTGCAGATGTACGACTGCACGAGCTCGGAGAAGAAAAGCCAGCCTAGACATGAACTCTCGCACCGCCCCGCGGACTTCTGGGATAGGAGTTGGCCTCCCTTCGCGGCGCCTCCGGCGGCGCCGCTGGCGCGTTCTTCGCGCCGCCAGGGAGGGGGGGGGGCTGCGCCGATCCAAGAGATCCGTGCGGACTTTCAAAAGTTTATGTTAATGCCGTTGTTTCTTCTCCTGCGAGCGCGGGCTGCTGCAAGGACAACGCGATGATCACGGTGGACGCGAACTGGCGCTGGCTGCACGGCGTGGGCGGGTACGACAATTGCTACGCGGGCGGCTGGGTGAAGTCGCACTGCCCCAACCCCGGCGTCTGCGCGCAGAAGTGCGTCCTCGAGGGCTTGGACCCAGCAACCTATCAGAAAAATTATGGCATCACGACCAATGGAAACGCTGTCAGATTGCAATTCCTCGCGAAGAACGACTACGGTCTCAACGTTGGTTCCCGCGTGTACGCAATGCAGGGGAACGCGTACAAGATGTTTTTTCTCAAGAACCGGGAGTTCACTTTCGATGTTGACCTAGCTACGTTGGGATGTGGCATCAACGGGGCTTTATATTTCGTCGAGATGCAAGAAAAGGGTGACCTTGGTGTTGGGCAGAACAAGGCCGGCGCACACTATGGCACAGGTTATTGCGATGCCCAGTGTTTCTTGGACGGCAAGTTCATAGGAGGAACCGCCAACGTGCCCATGGGGAGCATCGGATATTGTTGCACGGAGGTGGACATTTGGGAGGCGAACATGCGTTCAACCGCGTTCTCGATGCACACTTGCGCGGACCCTGGTGCCGTAAAGTGCTCTGGCCTGGAGTGCGGACCCGGACAGCACGGGGATGCGACGCGCTCGCAGGGGAAGTGCGACAGGGACGGCTGCGACTGGAACGACTGGCGGCTCGGGAACAAAGCTTTCTTCGGGCCCGGTGCGGGCTTCCAGATCGACACCACCAAAGCCATGACGATCACTACGCAGTTCTTGACCAGCGACGGGACCGACGAAGGCGACCTTGTCGAGATCAGACGTTCGTACAAGCAGGATGGCAAGACGATCGAGATGCCTTCCCCCAGTCTGGTCGACGAGTCGGCGTCCTCCATGACCGACGACTTCTGCAAGGCGCAGAAGACGGCGTTCGGGGACCCTGCGGATTTCCAGGACAGAGGCGGCATGAAAGCTCTCGGCGATGCCCTGGACCGCGGCATGGTTCTCGTCATGAGCATCTGGGACGACACCTCGGTGTACATGGACTGGCTGGACAGCACTTACCCGAAAGGCAGCACCAACGTGGGAGCCGAGCGAGGCAATTGTACGCCAGGTGTCTCTACGCCGGAGAACGTGCGCAAGAGCAACCCGCACGCCTACGTCACGTATAGCAACATCAGGGTCGGAAAGATCGGCACCACAAAGGAAGCGGTTGGCGACGTGTGCGCTCGGGCCCCGATCAACGTGTACAAGCCTAGCGCGGCGACGCTCTCCGCCCCTACCCAGTACAGCGGCCCTCCCACAACGCCCGTTCCGTCGACCCAGCCAAGTGCGTCCACGACGGCGGCTGGTGCACTCACGACGGAAGAGCCCGTGGGAGACCTGTTCGCCTCGGTTGCCCGCTCGATCGACTGCTCTGCCCCTGACTGCTCCGAGCCCACGCGGCTCTACTCCAAGCTTGACGCCGGGGCCGCCGCTCTCGACCGCGCCGCAGCTCTCGGAGGGCTGTCCACGACCGTGCTCTGTGCGGCCGTGGCCAGCGCGCTTCTGGCCGTGGTCGGGGCGCGGTGGTACCGAGCGCCGCCCTCGCCCGGCACCGCTCGCCTGATCGCCGCGGATCCTTCGTCCGGCGATGCCAGCGACAGCCCTTGAGATCGCACGAGGAGGGCAGGGGGAGGGTGGTGGATAGACGGGGAGAGAGCGGCAGGGAGACAGAGAGAGAGAGAGGAGAGAGACTCCTCCTCCTCCTCCTCCTCCTCCTCCTCCTCCTCCTCCTCCTCCTCCTCCTCCTCCTCCTCCTCCTCCTCCTCCTCCTCCTCCACAGAGCGATACGGAGAGTCTCCGTTTGCGTCCACCACGGCAGCAGCAGCAGCAGCAGCAGCAGCAGATCTCGGCCAGTAGAGGCCCCCGGTAACGCTACGGCGGAGTCGAGCTCGGTGCCGTGAGCACTGCGTGGGCACCGAGCTTCCCCGGAACGACCTGGACCGAAAAGGCGGCAGAATTGAAGCTCAGGATGAGCCGGAAGAGAGAGGATGTGCACCCCCTGGAGGTCTGGGTCAGGGAGCGACCGTCACACCAGGATGGGGAGACCTTCTGACAGGGAGCATCGTCGGCAGATCCTGGCTCGCTGTTCTCACACGGGCTTCCACGGCCCTTCGATGGCAGGAGAGGGTATAGAGGGGGAGGATTAAGGTCAAGCAAAGGAGGCGGAGGTGGAAGGGTCCAGAACGTGGGACACTCCGAAAGTAGCATCTCAGCATGGCCGGGCTCGTACCCCGATGACACGCAGAACCGTCAGAAACACGGAGCTTGTCCTGCGCCGAGGTCTCTCGGGCGCAGCTGGGCGGGGTAGCAGTGTGAGCGCACAGCTATCCTGCAACCCTTGAAACCGAAGCTTCCACGAGACGTGCGAGCGCAGGCCTGGCTATGATCTGCCCCCGGCCGCCTGCGGCCGTGAGCGGCAGCCTGGAACGCGTTCGCGATCTCCTGGGCAAAGCCAGCCCCACGGGCCGCGGGTCCAGTTCAGAGTGAGGTTCCTCCTCCTCCTCCTCCTCCTCCTCCTCCTCCTCCTCCTCAGCAGGGGTCTTGAAGAAGGAACCCTTTTCGTCGGGCAGGGGCTCGGCGTTCCTTGATGGTTTTACAGTTCGCCCTTGGGTTTTCCCTGGGGCTGCCATGGGAAATCGAGGTTTATCTCATGAGGAAAAGGGGCCTCGTTCCTCATTTAGGGTTCCTTGGGTCAACGCCCCGACTGCACGCTCTCACGAATTGGACCACCAGCCAAGTACCTACGGGAAGTAGAGGCCAGACAACACAAGCAGAAAGAAAACCGAGCACGAACGCCACTGGCGCATGTAAAGAAGGGTCCAATTCAGCCACACTGAGCCTGCAATGGCCGAAACTGCTGGGTCACCCGCGGGGGCGCGAAGACAATTGCGCTTCGCGCGTCGCGGCTTGGGCCAAAGCGGTCACATTTCTCCAGAGGGGGGCCCGAAGGCGCGAGGGCGCGAAGGTAATCGCGCGTCGCGCGTCGCGGGGGCGTGATGTGCAAACCTGTGTGACTCAGAAGCTCCAGGTCTGATCATCGAGGGACGCACGCTCCTCCCTCGAAGAGGACCAGAAGGACGTCCTGTGGGAGTGAGATATTGTATACCTCTAGGCGCCAGACGGAACTGTCGACCGAGTCAGGCCGAAATGAAATGTTGCGGTCAGATCTAGGGGCCCTCCTCCTCCTAGATCTGGCCGATTTCGACCAGATCTAGGGGCCTGGAGGGGGCCCAAAGCACTCGCCCCGTCTCGCCCCCTGCGAGCAGAGCCGCCGTCGAGAACGCGTTCCCGCGCGCCTCCGTTTTGGCCAGGCCTACAACTGCGCAGTACTCGATCGCCTCCTCGAGAACGGGTTTAGGGGGCCCTCGGCTCGGCCGATCCTGGGCCAATTCATTATGGGCCCGACTCTGGGCTGAGCATGGACTCGATCGGCCTGGACAGCGGTACTGGATCGCGCCCGATTCTGGGCCTAGCGTTGGCTCGATCGGACTGCCTGCCTGGTGGTTGGAGCCTCCTGCCCCTGCAGGACAGCGAGGCTATAGGACTGCATGGGGTGGCCGAGGCCCAGGTGTCTGCAGGGAGCGTAAGCCCTGCAAACTCTCGAGGGGAGGCTCGTTGACTGCGGCGCCTTCCCAGCTCTGGCGCCACCCGCGTCGCAGGGTGGCACGGTTTTGTCTACCCTGGGGAGTGTGCTAAATGGGAGCGGACCCGGAAGCAAGCTGATTCGGATGACGGGCTCACGAGTGACCGAGTTCGGGTTTCGCCGGAAAGCGAGGAGCCAGGTTGCGTGGCTCGCATCTTCGGAGCCATCGGAACCTTCCGCGAGAAGGATGGCCGCCGACCCCCACGGCATGCGGTTGGGGATCATATTGTTCGTTCTCCCACTTCTCTCCCTTGGTTGGGTAGCACTGCTCGCGCAATCTCCCACCCACTCTCTCCCCCCTCCCCTTGCCTCCTGCAGCCTTGCCTCCCTTGCTCGTACCTTCCCTACTGGTGGGATGCCAGCTGCGCAACTGTCGCCACTTTCGTAGCTCGTGAGAGGTCCAGCGGAATGGGGTGTCACGCAGATCCCACCGAGACCTCGTGGCTTCCTTGGCGGCTGCGAAGTGAGCGATTGTCGCCACTTTCGTGGATCCAGCCTAGACCTCGGGCTACGCGGTGCGCACTTGTCGCCACTTTCGTGTTCGTGGGCTTCTGGGAGGTCCAGCAGAGTGGGGAGCCACGCAGATCCCGCCGAGACCTCGCGGTTCCTTGGGTGGTTGCGAAGTTCGCGATTGTCGCCGGTTTCGTGGGCTTTTCGGAGGGCTTTTCGGAAGCACGGCGGAGCGGGGTGACCGCGCAGACCCAGCCGAGACCTCGCGGCTCCTTGGGTGGTTACGATGTGCGCACTTGTCGCCGCTTTCGTGGGCTTCTGGGAGGTCCAGTGGAGCGGGGTGTCACGCAGATCCGGCCGAGACCTCGCGGCTTCCTTGGCGGCTGCCAAGTGCGCGATTGTCGCCGCTTTCGTAGGCTTTTCGGAGGCACGGCGGAGCGGGGTGACCACGCAGACCCTGCCGAGACCTTGCAGCTCCCTGCGCACAGAGGGGTGTTCCTACGCATGGTGAGTCCTTCAACATGTTCGTTCGTCTTGAGCGGTCTTGGGCGTAGTCGCCACATGCATAGAAAGGGTTGGGTACGTCGCAGGGTACTCATTCTTGCTCGGGCCGACGAGCTATTGGAGCCGACCGATCTCTGGCCGCCTCGTTCGGTTCTCAGGGTCCGGGGCATCTGCGAAAGGGGTCGGACTCGCCTCACAAGTTGGGTCCTCCATCTGCCTGAGGGGGAGATCGGTTCAGCCTACGAGCCTGGCCGATGTGTCGCCGAACGACGGCTTCACGGCCTGGGCGGGGTCGTCGCCGTGCCTCCGCAGCTGCAGCTCCTCGGCCCCGTCCTCCTCGTGCTCTGCAGAAGCCTGGCACTCCGTGCCCACCTGGGCCAGCGCCTCACGGAGGCGCCAGACCTCCAGTCTCTCTGTGGCGCCAGGGCGAGAGCGGCGAGAGTGGCGAGGGGAGCCACGCCCCCGAGCCCCCACGGCCCGACTCGCGACCGCGAGCCTCACGGCACCCACGAGCGTCCCGAAAATTGCGGGAGTCACAGCCACGGTCTTGATCGCCCCGACGATTTGGATTGAGGCGGCGATCACGGCCCTTGTCACGGCCACTATGGTCATCACAGCGTTTGGGGGTCGCCGATCGGAGCCGCATCTGTACCAGGGCGGTCGGCGGCCATCAGCGCCCACGGTGTTCGTTGGGAGGTAGGCAGAAAGCAACCGCCTCACAATCACTCGAGCTTTCCGGATGGCCACTGACCAGAGGAACGCATGGATTCAGGCCACGATGAGATTTCTGGTACCCTATCACGAGCAGTTCCAAGGAGAGTTCCAGAACCCAGGACAGGGTGACCACGATGGATAAGCTTAGATATTGCGATAGCTTTATGGCCAGCGCCGCCGACCCTGAAGGGGGATGACGAAGACGACGACGGCGCGACGGCAACGACGCTTGCGAGCCCTCGTGGGAGCCTTTGTGGGCTCTTGCTGACCTCGGGAACCCCCCGAGACCCCCCAGACCGCCCCTCGCGATCCCCCGCGGCAAGGGGCGCCCCTTTTCTGCTGTTTTTCAGCCGAGGGCGGCCCAGGCTCGACGCTTAAGGCAGCCCAGTGTTTTGGCTTCCTTGCGCTCATGGAGTCTGGTTGCGCCAATGCTGTTAATCCTGTCAACCCCACTTCGGCAAAGGGCCTTCCCTTCAACTCGATTGGTGCTGCCCCTCTTGCGGCTCCGTGGGACTCTCGTGGGCCGTCTTGGTCGAAGATGGGGGGGTCACGACCCCCGGGTACCCCCCTGCGGACCCCCCCCGGGAGCTCCCCTCGGTATCGCTCGGACGTGTGCACTTGTTCTCGGCGGGGATTTGTCAGGAGCATCCTGAATCATCCTGCGAAAGAACCGCGCACGAAACCGAAAAAAGAACACAGGGAATGGACGTCCGAGCGATGGCCAGGCCCCCGGGACCCCTCTCTTGACACCTTCCCCCCTCCCCCCCCCGGGATCCCCCTCGGACCCTTTTCGCGACCCCCCCGGGGCCCCCCCCTCCCCCCGGCGACCCCTCCGAGACCTCCGATCAGAGGGAAGAGGCCGACCGTGGCGGGCAGGCCAAGAGGTTCTAGACCTTGGCGAGCCAAGCCGCGCACGGAGAAGCCAAGACATCTAACCATCGAGTGGGCCGTCCGGGCCGGGGTGGGGAAATGCTTCCAGAGAAAAATGCGTTTTCGGTGAAAATGCCTGTTGTCGATGAGCTCATGTTTGGTTTCAGTGAGCTCATTGCCGCCATCCCGATGCGTGCACGCCGTCGCAGACGATTGAGGCGTGGCATTCGGATACTCACTTGTAGGAGCCAGCAGCGGTTCTCACTCGTAGTGGTCGGGCAGCACGTGTCCCCCAAGGACCACAATTCCAAGTCAAGCCAGGTATACGGAGCCTCTGAGTTGCTCAAGCCGGACGCGGAGAAGAGTTTGATTCGATACATTTGAGTGAGGAATTCATGTACGCATTCCTTGCGGTAGACGTTGCCAGCCCGATAAGACGTTGTTTGCGTAACCCCGGTCATGAATATCAGTCGTGCTTGACGACCCAGACACTTGCAAGCCAGACTCGCGGAAACGTTTTGTTCGGGCAGAAGCGCGAAGTTCGAACCACGCCAGTAAAATCGGTAAGGCGCACTGGAAATTACGCCCCCAGTTGGTAAACCTTGTAATACATTTACCACCCGGACAATCGCAACTAGGGAACGACAGTAGCATGCGAACAATGTAGATGCAGCACCAGTCATTGACATGTTAAAACAATGAGGTGGTGCATCTAACTCAAAAGCCTTTTTTTCTGAGTTCCCTTTCCACGTTTCACCACTGCTGGATCAGAACCGTGCCGTCCTTCGATCTCCGCCGAGACCTCCTTCCAAGCTCGACGGTTCCAGGTAGCATCGCACCGCTCGTACGATTGGTCGGCGTCAGCCACCACGATAGACAGGCACGACCGAGGGCAAGAGACATTTCTAGGTGGCCCAGGTCTGAGACGATGATGTTGATCTCATTCGCCGCATTCTTCATGCAAAAGGCTTCACGGAATATGTCACTGTTGTTGAGGAGATGTCGAGTGGCCCATCCAATGTAACGAGACAACACCTCGTGACGTCGGGAGGAAAGCATCAGCTTTTGATTATAGGGAACCCATGCGGTGGGGCAGTCTGAATCGAAGCTCAGGGTGTCCTCTAGTGGTATATTAGCCATGAGGGTATACTGCGAAAAAGTTTGGGAATACTTCCAGATTGTTGCACCGTCTAACTAGACAGTATTGAAGCTGCCATTCATCACGTAGCCCCGCCGTCTGACGGAGCTATCGGGAGACACCCGCCCCATCTATTCTACAGATGGTGTTTGGTTGCTTGCCCTCTGCCATACCTATGTTGCTGACTGCCCTATCAGATGCTTCCGGCCTGGGAGTGGAAAAGGCAGGTGGGCGACAGGGCCAGAGGGAGTTCTACCGTCAAACCTCTTTCTGGGATCGCCTGGCCCACACCGAACGATAGAAACGAACAGTTTTTGCTTCTGAAGGGGACGTTGGGGACAAGCCAGGTGGGCAGCCCCCGTGAGCATGGCATATGTTGTAGGTGGGGAGGGGCGGGGCTTCACAGGCATCGACTCCGCAACGGATGGTGGCAACGATTCTGAGCAACAGGATGCGAAGAAGTGGTTCGCAGAGAAATTGTATTTCCAAACCATGCGGGCATGTTGGGTAAGTTTCGGCGCATGTTTGTGGCAATTCTTTGATGGCTCTTATTTCATGTGGCTCGTCATGGCTCAGATCGAGCATCGAACAGCCTACTGAAGGCTCCTCCCCCAAACACCGAACGGGGTGTTCAACAACGGTCTGCGCGCAGACTGGGGGCAGCCATGCAATGACGAGGGAAGCTTCAATTAATGGCAGCCAATTCTGCTCTCGTCAAATGGCTGCAGCTTGGCCACGGCACCAAAAAGCCCGCCAGGCACGCAATAAGGAGACCGAGACGGTCTGGAGCTAAGATCCACAACGGCTTGCCCATCGAAGTAACATGAAAGCGTTGTTTGTCTTGCAGGGTGCACGATGCCGAGAACAGGACTGGTTTCATTCGGTCCTGGGGAATCCCGGACATTGCTGGGGTAACGGACAGCCAGAGAGGTGGGGATATGCGCCAGGGGGGAGGGGGGCGGGGGGGGTCCTCGCCTTGAAGGGGGGTCTCATGTAGACGTGTTCCGCCGAGGAGGGCTGTCCAAGGTGCCGAGCCCACGGCGCAGGTCCACGTGTTCTGACCCCGTTTCATGAGCAAGGCTCGCCACGGAGAACATGTTTCGGTAGCAAGCGCTTCGACCTTGAAGTTGTCGGAGAAGGGCCCCCGTTGCGACTTACTGTGCTAGCTATACGTGGGTATACCGACTGGCCTAACTCTGGGATGAAGTAGCGCTCCAACATGCTCCTGGCCACGACCTCGAGCATTTAGGAGAGCAGCTGGACGAAGACCAATTGTTTCCTCTACTGACTGAGAAGTACAGGACCCAACGACGCACAACATTGTCTTGAGAGGAGGCATGTCCCCACCCAAGACAAGAGCGGCGTCTGCACTATTACTGCCTCCAATCAAACTCGTCGCGGCGCCACTCAGGAGGGAACATCATGAACGCACGGCGAGCCCAACGTGTTGGGAAGGAATGGGCCAGTTCATTCTTGAGTCGACTAGGCTCAGATATTCAGATAGCCACCCTGATGGAAGTCCACGGAACTGCCCCACAGAAGATCAGAAATCGAGAAGGTCGATTCCCAACGAATTCGCACAGGATCGGTAGTGACGTTGATAGATATGCACGCGCATGCCGATGGTCCCGTTTTTTTCCCACAGTCTTCACCGATTCAACCTCAGGAGAGGTCCGAACTGTTGTCGAGGACCGAGGTGAGCAAGGACTGCGATTTTCCCATGGCCACGGGTTGGTCGATCGAGACGGGTATCATGGATCGTTGGACCTCCATCTGTCCAAGCAGGACGGGCAAATTTCAATAGAGTCCAGCTGCACTTCCATATGACTTCGTGCTGTCGTCCTCGGATTTTGCCGAGCGCTCTATCATCTCCCGAAACGACAAGCCAACCATCATCCAGTGTTGAGACTGCTTGAAGCGGGATTGCTCTTCCAGATGGAACTTCTTCCAGGAGCCAGAGGACGGGGCCCACGATCGTGCACGCTGGGTGAAAAGTATGAACTCATTGTGCTAGCCGTGCCTCTGACCGGTGAGAGACAAAGGTTAGGTGATCCGCAGCGTCATTGCTTGATCGCACATTGATACGAATAACAGTGGCATGGGTCACGATTGGAAGAACGAGAAGGAAAAATGAGAAAAGTAAGGTTCATTCATGACTCGATAGACGTGCACTCGAAGAACGCGCATCTAAACATCGACATCCCCGTTGCCGTCTGAAAGGAAGTCTGATTGAGCCCGGGTTGAGAGAGAGTCCTTGCTTGCGTCCACCACGGCAGCAGCAGGAGATCGCGGCCAACAGAAGTCCCTAGTGACGTTAGGGAGGAATCGAATTCGATGCTGTAAGCTATCCTTTGGCACCGAGCTCCCCTGAAACGTCCTGGACCGAACGGCCGCAGAAGCTCAACAGCAGCAGTTGTAACAAAACTCAGAGAGAGAGAGAGACATATATATATATATATAGAAACAATAAATATAATGAGCGAGAGAGAGAGAGAGAGAGAGAGCAAGGGCGCAGCAGCGGGGCACGTCCAGGAAGCATGTCGTGGCCGCTGGCCTTCTCAGCGGGAGCACTCTCGAGCTTTATTGTCCAAGCCGTTGATTGCGCGTGCCGAGATGGCCGCAACTGACCATCGGATTCGCGCTGTTCATTCCCCAATTAGGCTTGGCTAGGGGGTTCTTCATTGGTTAAAAGGTTGGTACCTCCTATTGTTACGTTGCCCGTTGCTCGGAGGTTCCTCGGGTTCCTCGTGTTACTCGGGTTCCCGCTCCCGGTGCCTCCTATTATCACGTTGCCCGTTTCCCGGAGGTTCTTCGGGTTTGCCGGGTTCCTCGGGTTCCCCGCCCCCAGCCCAGTTGCCCGTTGCCCCACATATGCACACACATACATATAGACACGCATGCATACAGAAAGACAGACATACAAACAATATATGCAGTACAACGTAATGCGATACGATACGATGCAATGCAATACAATGCAATATAATACAATACAGCACAATACAACACAACACATCACAACACAATGCAGCACAATACAATACAGTACAGCACAGCACAACACAATACAACACACTACAATACAACACAACACAATGCAATACAATACAATGCAATACGCGTACATAACACACATACACATGCATACATACATGCATGCATGCATACATACACACATAGAGACATACATACATAAACATCCATACATGCATACATGCACCCAGACACACTGACAGACGTACATATATACAGGCATACATATATACATAAGCTACTTCGGCACTCCAAGCTCATTATGAATTTCAGTTGCGCGGGCGCGCCAATTTCATTTTGCCGAGTTCGTTCCGGGTTCATTTTCACAAGGAAATCCTCTAATTGGGATCGCGATGGGTCTATTTTGAAGCCTCCTTTGCCGTTCAACGCGCTTTGCACCGACAGGGTGTTCGGGCGCAGGCTAGCATGACACATATTTCTCGTAGGTGTGGCTCTGCTGTGACTCACACAAAGTTGGTGATTCAGGCACGGGCACCCGTAGTGGGTTCATGGCATCAAATTTTTCACACGGCGCGAGGACTGCTCTCGGAGGTAGCGTGCTTCACATTCCGCGAACTTCACGTTTTCACGCATTTGTTGCCAATTAAACAGCCCGCAATGGTGTGGCTGTAGGTAGGTCGGGATGTTGCTGGAGATTAGGGCGATGAGACTTGCACGCCAGCCCGAAGAACAAAAGATGCGCTAATGTGCGCAATTGCAGAGTGGCTGTGCCAGGACATGTTGCACAGAATAGGGTGGCATGGCAGAAGGTAAGTAGAAAGGACGGACGGACAATGAAGGCAAGGAGGACGAGGGAGGTCGCCGTCTTGCAGCAGTGCGACCAGGAGTTCGTCGAGCTGCTCATGGAGTGCGTGGAGACGAAGATGTTCAACGCGGGCTGCGACATTATCCCAGAAGACTGCACAACAGCATGATCATGAATTTTCGGGAGTCCGTGTGGCTTTCTCGACTCGCGCGGAGCGCGCCCAGGGAGGCGCCAGGGGGCGCCGCCAAGAAGCGGGGGGAGGTCAGGAGATTCGCGCGGGCCTCCAGAAGTTTATGCTCGTGCGTTCTGGGGGGCCTTCTGTCCTCCGCGAGGGAGGCCCCAGCACCAGCGTCTACTTCCTCATCCTCGGGGGTTGCCAGATGGCGGGCCTGGCCCCAGGGTGGTTTCGGCCTGGGCCGCCCCCGGGAAGCACGGGCGGCCCCCAGGGAGGGCGCCCCAGCACGAGAGTCCCAGGGAGCCCCGCGGGCCGCGGAGGGGCGCGAGGTGCTCGGACACCTCTGGCCAGGCCCCCTCCCCGCCTGGAACCTCGACCCGCGATCCTCGCCTTCGGAAGTCAACCATCCCCCTCTGACGTCTCCGGGGGGCCCGTTCTGACCAGGTCGTCGAGGGGAACCCAGCCATGGCGAGGGGAGCGCCCCATGGGGAGCCCCAAAAAGGCAGAACACGTCCGAAATGTTCGAACTTTTGACCTGGATCCTCTAGATCACCCGCGGGGGCGCGAAGAGAATCGCGCCCCGCGCTTCGCGGTCTGAACCAGAGCGGTTGCCCTTCTCCAGGCGGGTGGCGCGATGGCGCGAAGATCATCGCGCATCACGGGGCACGATGCGCGAAGATAGGTGACGTAGAACCCTTGGCACCCGCCGATGTGATGTGTTCAATTTGCGGCCCCAGAGGTCTCGACCACTTCCCTGGGCGTGTTTCTTCGCCCAAAACAATGCTCGAGGGTCCTGGGGATAGAGCGCCCAAGAGACCAGCATCGAAGAGAAACGCTTGGGCTGAAACAAAATAGATCTTGGCAAAGGATCCTACCAAATGCAAGTGTGACTGCCGAAAGGCAGTTGGGACGAAAGAAGCCGGAGCTCCCTGTGGGGCCAGGGGTGCGCCGAACTGTGCGGAAGGACGCATGCGAACTCTGCCACAAGAGCCTTCGGTGGAGCTCCCTTGGGGGCCGCGAAAAGTGTGAGCGGTCTGCCGAAATGGGCGGTGGGGGCGCACGCGAACCTTGCCATAGGAGCCTTCGGTGGAGCTCCCTTTGAGGCCACGAAGCGGGTGAGGGGTGTGCCGAAAGAGACATGCTGAAGACAGAGGCGGGGATAGGAAGAGGAGGAAGAGGAGGAGGAGGAGGAGGAGGAGGACACAAAGAAGGCGGAAGAGGAGTCCGTAGCTACGTTGGCTCAGCTAGAAGCCTCGAGGCCCTGGGGGCTTAAGCTTGTGTGCGGCCAAGGGGCAGGCTCAGGCCCCGCACGTTCTGGCAGGACAGGCGTGTCAAACAATGTTGTGAGTTCCTGCCAGAGCATCGACCAATCCTCGCGCAGGTGCTGCGCCGCGAGGATTCTATGAGTTCGAACGATGCGCTTTTGGGGCCCAGAAAGCCATTCTGGCAATGCACACGCTGCCCTCGGTCGGGGAAGTGGGCAAGGCGGATCAAATGTGTGTGTGGTACCCATGCCCCACCAGCAGCGCAGAAAGCAGCCAAGGCAGCACTTGAGAAGAGTGTGGCGAGATGCGTGGAGAAGCCGTCGGGGCCCAAGGGGTCTGGGAATGCAAGAGTCCACAAGGCTGATCCCACGCTGCAAACGATTATCAAGCGCCTCGATAGGGTTTGGAGAAGGGTGGTTCCTCTTCTATTCCGCCGTGGGCCGCTGCAAGAGCTGCCAAGGAAGATGACGGCCTCAAGGAGACCAGAGAGAGACTTGCGCACAGGCAGAAGGTTGCCAAGTTCGCAAAGCATCAAGAATACAAGCACGTGGCGGAGGAGCAAGTGGAGAAGCTGCAGCGCCGGACTCAGGAGGCCAAGCCCTTGCACATCCAGCAGCACTCCATCATCACATGCTTGGCAAGAGTTCGGGAGGTATCGACCACTCTGGAGACCAAGCCGGAGACCGCCAAGATGAAGGTGGAGGAGGCCAAGAAGCGTTTGCAGCAGAAGTTCGACGAGTCTAAGCAGGCGCTGCAGGAGGCGAACCGGAAAGTTGAAGCACTGGAGCAGGAAGCTAAGGATAGTTTCACCAAATCCGAGGCTGCAGGCGGGGGCCCCTTCTCAAACTGGAGGAGCAACAGACGAGTGCAAGGCCTGGTTCCGAGTCCACAAGCAAGACGAGCGCACGGGCAGCCACCTCAAGGTCCTCCTCCCTCGGCCCCATGCAGCACTGCATCTGGCCCGACGACAGCGGTCAGGATCGCGACGCGTTTGCAGCGAGGTCGTCACCAGTTGTTCGCTCAAGCGCTACGGCTCCAGGGGTCCGCGCGAGCACCCCCAAACCAGTGCCTACCGAGCTGCATGTTCACGCTGTGGTCCGTGCTAGCACCCCCAAGCCAGCGCCTACCGAGCTGGACTTGGTGCCACGGTCGCCGCGTCTTGCCGATGACTGGTCAGCGGTAGCACCCCCAAACCAGCGCCGATTGAGATGTACTTGGGGCCACAGTCGCCGCGCGATCACTGTCGAGGCTGCGACGTCAACAAGTGCCTTCTGGAGTACGAACACTATCGGCTTGGACTGGCCAGAAGTAGGAGTTGAGATGCCAGCGGCGCGACCTAGCAGGCAATTCACCAGCGCGTCGGGGGCCCCAGTGGAGACATGGAGTTCGCCGACAGGTTCGTCTACACCGGCTGCCGCATCGGCAGGTGCCGCGCTCTTCGCCCCAGAGATAGCAATGATTCCTTCGCAGACGAAGCCCGAACGATACTTGGGCACAGCTGCCATTGCGCCCACGAACTCGCGCGCGGGACCCTGCGCTGCGCGATCGCCAGGGGGCGCGCCGCAGCGCGCCACGCGTTCCAGTCGCACCGCGCGGCCACGCAGCGCAGGGCCCCCACGTTCGAACTCGACAAGGTGGTGCTCCTCAACACGCGCCTGCCAGGTATGACCTCAGCGGCTCGGAGGACACGGCGGCCCCCATTTTTGTCTGCGACCAGGCGCGCCACAAGCTCGCCTCATTGGTTGTGCACGAGTGCCACAACTCGGACTGCGCCACAGACATGGAGGCGACGCGCCAGCCGCAGCTCACCCAGCACGAGTCAGGAGCAAGGCGTTCGGAAGATTGGCGCAATCTTCAAACCCAGGTCTACGCTGGCCAAAAGTTGAAAGCGACACGTGATGACACAATCACAAAATTAGCCTGGCGAAGGACCCAATCGCACGCAGTTGCGAGCCCCGTCGTTGTGAGCATCGCCTTCGGCGGAGCTCCCCACGCGGCCGCGAAAAGCGCGAGGGGCGCGCCGAAATTGGCGGGGTGGCCGCGTGCAACTACGGCCACTGGGGCCCCCATGGCGCCCCATATGGGGCCGCGAAAAATGGGGGGCGCGCCGACGCGGGCGGGGGGGCGCATCCGGACTGCGCCATTGGGACCCTCGGCGGAGCTGCTTGTGGGGCCACGGAACGCGCGAGTGATGTACCAAAACGGATGTGGCGGACGCATGGAGGTTGCGCCGCCGAAGCTTTTTGCCGAGCCCCCGTTTGCGGGCTGCGCCCTCGGGACTTTCAGTGGAGCTCCTTGCGGGGCCTCGCAACGTGAGGGGTGCGCCGAAATGCTCGCGGGACCGCATGCGGGCTGCGCCACTGGCACCTTCGGTGGAGCTGCCTATGGGGCCCCGAAACGTGCGAGGGGTGTTCCGAATTTGCGCGGGACCGCCTGCGGGCTGCACAATTGGGACCTTCGGTGAAGCTCCCTGCGGGGCCGCGAAACGCGTGGGAGTCTGCGGACATGGGTGCGGGGCCGCGTGCGGGCTGCGCCATTGGGACCGAGGATGAAGCTCCTTGTGGGGCCGCGAAACGTATAAGGGGCGTGCCGAAATGAGTGCGGGCCAGCCTGCGGGCTGCGCCACTGGGGCCTTCGGTGGAGCCCCCAAATAGGGCGACGGAATGTGCGGGTGGTGCGCGGGCTCGGGTGCGGGACCGCATGCAGGCGGCACCATTTGAGCCCTGGTTGGAGCTCCCATTGGGGCCACGAAACGCGCGAAGGGCGCGCCGAAACAGATGGCAGGGACACATGCGAACAGCGCCAACTGGGCCTTCGGTGGAGCTCCCCGTGGGGCCACGAAGCGTGTGCGAGGTGCGCCGAAATGAGCGGTGAGGACGAATGCGGACGTCACCCAAGGCGCCCTGGGTGGAGCTCCCTGGAGGGCAACGAAACGCGTGACGGGGCGCACCGACATGGGCAGCAGGGGCGCATGCGGACGGCACCACTTGGGCAGCGGGAGGAATTCCATATGGGGCCACGAAACGCGCGAGGGGTGCGCCGCAGTGCGTGGCGGCGGCGCATGCGGACGGCACCATTTGCGCCCTGGGTGAAGCCCCCCAGTGAGCCACTAAGTGTGACGATACGGGTGGCGGGGACGCATGCGGGCGGCACAATTTGCGCTTTGGGCGGAGCTCCTTGTGCGGCCACGAAGCGCGTGAGGGGTGCGCCGAAATTGGCGCGGAACCGCATGCGGGCGTCACAATTTGGGCCTTTGGCGGGGCCCCGATGGTCCACGAAACGCGGCGCTGGCCACCTGTTCGGCAGGAGCTGGCAACGCGTTCGATTGTCTCCTGGTGTCGCATGGTTCGAGCCAGTGCAGCGACAGCATCCAAATATTCCACGACGCGCCGATCAGCCCCCACTCGCCTGCCGAGCTGTGGATGAAAAGGAATTAGCTTGCCCATGCCCCTCCACGCCAGGATCAATGGGGAAGAGGTTCCCCACCAGTCGCCCGATTGGTTGGGAAATGGAGCCCAAGGATAGGCTCTGGAGATGCGAAGCAGCCCGCACTCAACGTCAGTTCCCTGGAGATTTGGGAGCAGTGGGGTGGCTTGACAGTGCTGAGTTCGAGCCGCGCATGATATTTGATAGACTGGGTGAAAACAGGGGCGCATTTCTTGAGGTCCCATGGGTGCCGGCGGAATGCGATCTCGCTCGAGCTGTTTGTGCGTCGTAAACGGTTCTCTAACTCGGCCCTCGGCTTCGTTAGCGGCGATCGATGATGACACTCTTGGCCGCGCCGGAGTTAACAACCGAGAAAGGTTTCAGCTCGAACCTCTGAGCAGAAGCCAGAGCTGGTCTATTGAGACTGGACGAACCAGTCGTGCAATCTCAGCTTAATGTAGTTGCGCCATCGATCAGTGACATGATCGAGGCTATCGAGTCCACCTCGGGTCGCGAGATTGTTTATTTGTATGCCAGTTGCCCGTTCGACCGACGATCATTTGGTAGCCGAAAACTCGCGCAGGAATAGCCAGGCCACGAATTCCACCACCGAGGGAGGCAAGGCATCGCACGCTTAGCAAGGAGAAGAACCCTGGCGCGAGCCCTAGCAGCACCGAGGGATGCGAGCTACAGGGAAACAAAGCTACCGAGACGTGGTAGAGGGATCGGGACAGCCACTGGCAACACCGTCATTCTTGTCCCACGCAGGAGCAGATTAAGCTCGGCAAGGAAGCGGAGCCCCATGGGGAACCCTCTAGGCAGGTAATCTCGCGGTCCCTCAACAAGTTCAAACCTGATTCTAAATTCAGGGTCGATGGTTGGAGTCCCAGATCATGGACGGCTTCAATTCGTTATCCTGGACAGGCTGGTTGACGCCATGATCTCCTGGGAGAAGGATCCCTTTGTGATACCCAGCAAGTTCCCCACCTTCATCGTCTTCCAAGGTGAGCCCGAGGGTGCTGGATGGCGCCAACGTAAGCTCATTTTACAGCCATCCATTTATCGGGGCACAGTTCGTCAAAGCGAAGCACGCGAATGGGGGCCCAGCCATCAAACCCATTTTTCTTGAGGGGTCACAGACAAATAATGTCACCCAGCGGGCTGGCAGCATTCGATGCTCACGGAGCTTGCGAGAGCAAGTCATTATGCGTCAGCCACAACATCCCGCATGCCGCATGGATCTTAGTAAGTTCTACGAGGGGGCGGCGCCAAGGATCATGTTGAACGAGGCCAAGGAAGGAGGATGTCACCTAGGTCTCACCATGGCAGCCATCGCCCTGCACATTGGACCCCGCGCCACTACGTTTGCCGATTATACTCAAAACTTGTTTTGCCTCAGTGGCACGATCTTGGCAGGTTGCAGTTTGGCCACAAGTGTCGCTATCATAGTCTCTTATAGTGGTATGTGTGTTCTGGCTATCAGATACCCAGCTCTGCGCGTCGGGAACGTCGCCGACGATGTCTCGTAGCAGCAGCTGGGCACATTCAAATGCATCACCGAGCAGCTTGGAGGTGCGGGTATTCAGATCAAGGACGGGCCCCGTGAACTTGAGTTGGCCGTCGCGGACAATTAACCCACCTACCACGTCTCCTCCCAGGACACTGCCAAGGGATTGGGGCAGTCTTGGAAGTCCTCGCAGTTCTCAAGTAGGACCTCGGCCGCGTCCTTTGGTTGCGACGCTGTCTGCAGCAGGATTGGGAGGAACCCTACAGCGCGCAAGGGGCCCAGGAAATGCGGGAGGAGATGTCGGAGGCTTTGGGAGCTGTAGATTGCAGGTGCGGCGGTGGGCAACATCTACCGCGCTGGAACACAAGCTGGGGCTCTATGTGGTACCGCTGTGGCTGGCTGGATTTTCAGACAGACGCATCCCCTTAGGATCTCTGCGTGCAGGAGCTTGCACGAGCAAAAAGCTGGAGCCCTCATCTCACACAGATTGCCGTCCTTCGGGCTCGGCAAGCGCATCGACCCATATATGATGTATCTTTTCACGGTTGCGCATCAGTGGGCGATGGCAATCTGGGACGCTTCCCCAACGCTGGAAGTCATGCAAGATGTTTTGGAACAGGCACGCGATCAGGTCACGACTTCGAGCAGGCCGTCGGTCTTTGCCACCTCGCCAGCACATGTGCTGCTGCTCGTTTTGGCCGAGATAGGATGGCCTCCCGTGTCTGTTCGCGCGCTCCGCAAAGCTGATGGGGATCCCATCGACCTGCTAGCACTTGGACCGCGTTCCGCGCGCGACCGGGCGTTTCATCGGCGCAGGGCACAGGGCGGATATGAAGGCGCTGAAGCATAGGACCGGGCTGAACAAAGCTCAGTGCAGGCCTCCTCTTTGGGACGGGGTTTGGAAGGCCATGGATCGGGATACGAGTGAGTTGTGGCGCGACCATCACCCATGTTTTGTCCAAAAGTTTTCCGTGGGAGCCTGGACTCAGCGTAGGTTGCTTGAACACAGGACTGCTGAAACAATGAGTGCCCCGCCTTCGAAGCTAACAGGCGCGAGCACCTTGCCCAGTCGGCTGGGAAGGGAGCCAGGCGGACACGTGACATTTGCCATGATCTCGAAAAGTGCGTTGCTGGGGCGTTGCCAGACCCGCGTGGGCTTGCACCGCCTGCACTGAGTGAGGGCGAATGCCACACTCATTGGTTCTATAAACCACCGAGTGGCAAATTGCCGGGAAACCTCCGCGCGGCTCCGTCGAGCTGGACGGTCGATCTGCGCTGGCAATGATAATGGGGAGCTCCTGTCCGCGGCCTTTGGGCCTGTGCCCAAGCAGGCCGCACCCCTACAGCAGGCTCGAGATGGAGAGGGCTACGCCAACATGATGGCGTGATGGCGGTCTCCCTTGTTGGAGATGTCGGTTCTATTTGCCACACGGACTGTGTTGGGAGTCTTGGGTGCGTGTGGGCTCGCCATGCCTCTGTTTCGGCCTCCACCCCGAGTGCCCACATTTGGTCGAGAAGTTGGCATGCTTTCGAGAATGGCCTCACGGCCAACAGAGCTCTGGCGCACGCCATCTTTAATGATACTGTTGACGGTTGCTCCTCGCACTTCCAACAAGTTGGCAGCAGAAAGGCGCGGCATTAGCAAGTTGAAGCTTCGTTTCAGGAGCGTGTGCAGATGCACGAGGATATCGTAAGATGGAGCGGTGTCCAGGACGTGTTGATGAGTCAGAGGTCGTGGGCCGACGCTCAGAGGGGTCCGGGAAATTCGGGGGTCGACGACCAAGGCACCCCACTGCAGCCCACGTACATTTCGAGAAAGCGCCTGCAAGCCAAGTTTGAAAAGAAGTGTCAGGCCCAGAGTGTTAGCATGGGAATACAGTCGGGGCCCTGAAGAAGGAACCCTGTTCGTTGGGGAGGGGCTCCGCGTTCCTTAAGTGTTTCACAGCTTGCCTCAGGTTTTCCTTGTGGTTCCGATAGGAGGTCGGAGTTTAACGTATGGAAAAAAAGGGGCCTCGTTGCTTCTTTGGGGTTCCTTAGGTCAGCGCCCCGGCTGTACGACACGTGCTCCTAAGATGTAAGGGTCCCATATCTCTCGACTCCCGCAGGACGGTCGGCTCATCGGAGGCCCTGCCTGAACTCAGCGCACTATGATGTTGCAGGGACACAACCTTCAGGAGGGAAAAAAACACACAGACACAATGAATCGTCGATTCCACAGAAAATATGGGAAAATATAGGAAGTGGAGGGAAAGACGAACACCCAGAAAGTATGGGAAAATATGGGGAGTATGTTTATGTGTGTGTATTTATTTGTGTGTCCCGGGGCCCCTTCAAACCTGCTGATGTTCAAGGCGTGTGGTGGGGCGAGGTGTCGGGTGGGCGGGAGTGGGTGGGTGATGTCGTACATGGGGCTATGCTTGGGCGGGCGGGGATTCGATTTGCGGGCATTGCCCGAGCCAGATCCCCACTAAAGACTTCAAGAGACAGAGGAACCGTCCGTTCCAAGGCCTCTTCCCGAGCTGGGCCAAGCAGCATGCTGGGTGGAGACTGTCTGACTCCAGAACCCCAGCGCCTGCTGACCTCCTGGCTCTGACAAGAAGTGCTAAGAAGGGGGTAGTGGTCCAGGGGGAGGAGAGCCCGATGTTAGACGAGCAGTGGTGTGACCTTATCTGTGAAGAGAGGTGGGAGCTGCCGAAGTGTCTCTCCCAGTTTGGTCTTGTTCGGCCCGTTCGTGCAGATACGTCCCGAATGGGAATAAAACACTGCCCGTGTTTTGCGTTTGGTGCACTTAGCATCAACAGGCGCTTCCACAGCAGACAGACAGACAGACAGACAGACAGACAGACAGACAGACAGACAGACAGACAGACAGACAGACAGATAGGAGGAGGAGGAGGAGGAGGAGAGAAGGAGAGGAGACACACGGCGCCGCTGCTTCCAAACGAGGACCCAACACCACAGGATGGCTGGGATTCCTACCTCGTCGTTTGTCTGGGACCTCGACCCCTGGCAACCCCCGACCGTCTACGGCAGCGCGGACGTGCTGGTGGGGGAGACTCGGAGGGTGCCAACTGCACAGGCCAGCCACAACTGGGGGAGCTGTGGTCCTTACCCCCCCGGGGGACCCATCGATTTCGACACCCCTCTCGAGAGATCGTCGATGCGATGGGTTCCCCCAGGGGGGTAAGGACCACAGGTCCCCCAGTTATGGCTGGTCGGCTGCACGCCGGCACCGATGCTGGCCGGGCCCGTCCTGGGCCCGGGGCCGGCCGCCACGCCAGGAGGGCCCGCACGCCGAGCCCGGGCGTGGGGCGGGCCCGGGCCCGGGATCGGCGCCCCAGCGCGCAGCCGGCGCCCTCCCAGGAGGCGCCCGCGGCCCGCCTCGGGGACGGCGCCACCTTCGGGGAGATGGCGCTGCTGGGCGACGCCTGGCCCGCGCGAGGGAGGCGGTGCGCCACGGTGAGGGCCACGAGCCTCTGCAACTGCCGCACGGTGGAGTGGAGCTTCGGGCGGGGAGGGGAAATTCGGAGATTCGTTTGGAGGCTTGGAGGGTCATCATCTTCATCATCATCATCATCAGCAGCATCAGCATCATCATCATCATCATCATCATCATCATCATCAGCAGCAGCAGCAGCAGCAGCATCAGCATCAGCATCAGCATCAGCATCATCATCATCATCATCATCATCATCATCATCATCATCATCATCATCATCATCATCATGAGCATCGTCATTGTCATCGTCATCGTCGTCGTCAACAACATCATCACCATAATCAGCATCATCATCGTCATCATTAGAATTAGCATTATCATCATCATCATCATCAGCAGCAGCATCATCATCATCGTCAGCATCGTCATCATCAGCATCATCATCATCGTCGTCGTCATCATCAACAACATCACCATCAGCATCATCAGGATCGTCAGCATCATCATCAGCAGCATCATCAGCATCATCATCAGCATCATCATCAGCATCAGCATCATCATTACCAGCATAATCATCAGCATCATCAGCAGCATCAGCTTCATCATCATCATCATCATCGCCACCATCATCACCATCATCATAGTCATCGCCATCGTCATCGTCAAGTCTGGGGCCGGGGGGGGGGACTTTGAGATTCGCGTGGAGGCTTGGAGGAGGAGGGAGGAGGAGGAGGAGGAGGAGGAGGAGGAGGGAGAAGGAGGAGGAGGAGGAGGAGGAGGAGGGGTAGGAGGAGGAGGAGGAGGAGGAGGAGGAGGAGGACGAGGAGGAAGAGGAGGAGGACGAGGACGAGGAGGACGAGGAGGAGGATGGGGAGAAGTCATTGCGACACCACGAGGTAGGAAGGGTGTTGTTTCGCCAGCCTCGCTCGGCAAAGGGGCCATTCGGAGGTGTTGGAGCACCCGTGCACAAATCTGAGCCTTGAGCATCAGAGGCTTGAGGCGGAGGAGGAGCAGGAACAGGAGGAGCGCAAGGGTGGGGGGGGAGGAGAAGAAGCTCTCCAGACCTAGTGAGGGTCCAGATCTCCGACGACATGACGTTTTCACATCCTGGCGTTTTTCCCTCGACTTCGGCCCTCGGGGGCCATGTTCGGGCCCTGAGGCAATCAGCAACAAATCTGGGAAGACACAGTGCCCCCCGGGAACGGGTCGGACTTCTGGGGCCGCGACGACCCTCTGCACTTGGCACGCGGTGGACTGGAGCCTCTGCGGATGGGGAACTCCTGGAGAGGAGCAGAAAGCGGCATAAACATAAATTGTCAGTTGTTCGCGCGGAGTTCTTGGATCTGCGCGTATCAAGCCAAACCACCCATCACCCACACAATGGAAGAGAACAACGATAACGGTGATATACAAATCTGGGGACCCCAAGATACCGCAAAACTACAGACCGATCGCCATCATCCCACTGCTGTACAAAATCATGTCCCGCCTCCTCTGCACTCGACTAGAAGCCACATTTGACGCACAACAAAGCCCTGACCAGGCTGACTTCCGGCGAGGCTTCAGCACGGACGACCACCTTTTCACGACGGCAATGTTGCACAAGCAATCACATTGTTGGCAGTTACCACTCTGGGCGGCAGCAATCGACTTCAAGAAGGCGTTCGACTGCGTGGACCACAAGCACCTATGGGACGCTCTACGACAGCAACATATTCCCGAAGCGTACATCACCTTCATTCGGCACATCTACAATGATCAGACGGCCACTGTCCGCACTGACACCTCCAGTCGCAGTTTTAGCATACAGCGGGGTGTGAAGCAGGGAGATCCGCTCAGTTCCTTCCTGTTCAATGCGCTGCTAGAGCATATCTTCCGACAAATCAAGCCCGGCTGGCAACGCAAAAAGTGTGGCATCAAGCTCGGTTTTGCTAAAGAAGCAAGCATCACGAACCTACGCTTCGCAGACGACGTTCTGCTGTACGCCCCGAACTTTCGCCAACTTACATGCTTGCTGCGCGACTTGAAGAACAAAGCATCCTGCTGTGGACTCTCACTTCACCCCGACAAGACCAAGATTCTCACCAACGTCAGCCGGAGGGCTGGCAGGACAATCACGCACATCGTCTTAGATGGCGCACGCATAGACATTCTACCAAACGACCACAGTACGAAATATTTGGGCAAAAAGTTACCGTTCCACGACTTCCACAGACATGAGCTGAAAAACAGGACCGCCGCGGGATGGTCGAAGTTTTACACACTACGGTGTGAATTTACCAACAGAAAGCTCCCATTGCACAGCACTCCGACTCTTCAGCGGCACGATCACACCATGCGTTATGTACGGTTGCTCTTCGTGGACACTCACCAAGGATATGCTCATCACGCTACAACGAACACAACGGAAAATGCTCCGACTGATCATCAATACGCCGAGAAGACGGAACACGCTGGAAGCAAGCAGACAAACAGCACGCGCCAGCTGCAACACCAACAACGGCACACGTGTCGACGTCAACGACACCGAATCCAGCACCGACACCAGGACCGACAACAGCACCGAACGGCGACGACGACGACGACACCAGCACCAGCACCAGCACCGACCACAGCACCAGCACCAACACCGAACACAGCACCAGCACCAGCACCAGCACCAATCGAAAACAGCGCCAACACCGACAATAGCACCTGCACCGACAACAGCACCAGCACTGACAGCACCAGCACCAACACCGACACCGACACCAGCACCGACAACAGCAACCGACGGAGACAACGACGATGGATCTGAGTCTTGGGTTCACTTCATACGGAGAAGTACCTCCACCGCCTTGGCACACGCCAAACGAGCACGAGTCGACGATTGGACCGACGTATACTTCAAGCGAAAATGGGCGTTCGCAGCACGCGTTGCCAACCACGATCACGACAGATGGACGCGACTGAGCGCAAGCTGGGACCCATGTACACACGACCTACGCCCAGCCTTTCGCCGACATTGCGGGCAAAAGAAGCTTCGGCATGATGGCATTGTATCTTATCTACATGACGTGGTCGACACCGACAACGATTTCAAATGGTGGGTGTTGGCCCAGAACCTACCGTGGTGGAAGACTCGTGAAGAAGGCTTCTTGGACTACATGCGTCGCTTCCTCCACTCCGGCAAGTACAACGAATGAGCCTTCTGGCGCTCCGGCGCCCCCGCCGGGCTCTCATAGGGCCGTCCTTCCGGGACGTTTTCTGGCGCTCTGCTCTGCTGCTGCTGCTCTTGGATCTGCGCTCGGCCCCTGGATCCCCCTGGCGGCGCCTCCGGCGCCACCCCTGGCGCGCTCCAACGCCGACCCAGGAACTCCGAGAGGACCTCCGACAGTTTCTGTTGATGCATGCGTGTTTGATTCACGCTGTCACCCTGCTCATCCTTTCCTCGTCATGCTCGTCCTCCTTCTCATCCTTCTCCTCGTCGTCCTCCTCCTCCTCTTCCTTGTCCTCCTCCTCCTCCTCCTCCACGTCCTCCTCCCTCGCCTCCCCCTCCCTACCTCGGGCGTGATGGACCATGGGACCTCATGGAACCTCCTGGTAATCCCGGGCGCCTCCTGGGATAGCAACCTCTGGGGACTTCCTGCGGCCTCTTGAAACCTCCTGGG